CACAAAGGGAGAAGCAGCCCTTCCAGGGATATTTTCGGGAGCCACCCGTGAGGCACACAGCTTTTGGCCAACAGGGAACACTTTCAGCCTACCCAATTACTAACCAGGTCACGGCTCTTCTTGTCAACGGCAGAACCTACAACACACAACAGACATGGGATTTAGCTCACCACATTCCACAACAAGCACTCCCAGACTTCACATCAATCTTTCCTGACACAATTCCCCCTTCCCACCCTGCTGGAAATGAGCATTTGGCATGCTATCTCTCTGGAAGAGCCTGGGATGCAGCTTACCCTGGGCTGGCACAGGTGTTCGAGGTTTTTCGCTCTCAGCTTGGACTGGGAAGGACAAACGCTCGGGAAGGGTCACATCTGTAATGACATGGGACAAAAATACAGGGGGTGGTCCTAACGTGTGTACAGTCTGAGCTTAAAAGCTTCCACTGCTGGAAAGTGGGACATACAGGCTGCCCAGAGAAGCTGTGGCTGCCCCATCCCTGGAAGTGTTCAGGGCCAGGTTGGACGGGGCTTGGAGCAACCTGGGCTACTGGAAGGTGTCCCTGCCCATGGAAGGGAGTGGAAGAAGATGAGCTTTAAGGTCCCTTCTCACCCAAACCACTCTGGGATTTGATGATTCTCCCAACAGCTCTGCATGGTCACCCCTACCAGGATAATAAAAATTGGGACTTCACAGACTACTGCCCATGACAAGATGGATCCCAGTTGCCACCCACCATGCTCCTGTTTGCCAAAAAAAATCCCCCGCACTCTCAGCACTGACTTTTATGCTGCTTTTCTCCTGGCAGCTCCAGCTCCACGGGCCGCAGGTCCAGCAGCTGCGGTGCCGCCGGCGGGGACTCGCACTCCTGGACCAGCATGTCCGCGAGGTCACCCTGCCCCGTGTCCCGCAGGATGGACAGGAACGCAGGGAAAGCCTGCTTCCCTCGAGTCTCCAGGTCGATGATCAGCTGCCGGGCTTGGTCTGCTCGGCTGCCGGCGCCCTGCAGAGGAGGGAAGCCCAGGAAAACACATCTTCATGCAACACCTGGGCAGCCCTTCTGACTGGTCCCAGAGAGGGGAAATTGGGATCTGCACCCAGCACGTGGACACAGGGTGAACAAGGCCAAAACCCAGCGGACACAGTCACACAGACCCGCAGTAGCCACCCGACACCCAGCTCTGACCCCCCTCCACCCACAACCATCACCAAGGGGACACGCAGCCCTCCGTGGGGTCTGGAGCCAAAGGGGGGAAGGAGCACTCCCAGCCTGGCCCCAGGGGACAAACAGGCACCTCCAGGCTGTTACTGGTGGGCAGGACAGGGTAAAACACCCCCAAGCCTGCCGCCTGTCACCGAGAGGGGAAATGGGAATGCCCTGTCACCAGACTGTGACGGGGACTCAAGGAGGAACCCCCATGCCCGGCACTACCCGGGGCTGGGGACAAGAAGGAACAAGGTGTGGGGGGTTCTCTGCAGGGCTCGGGGTGGGGAGGGACAAGGACCACTCAGCAGGCTTGTCACCAGAGTGAGGGGACACAGGGCCTGTCATGGGGGCGAGATGACAAAAGAGCCACCCCCAGGCCTGTCACCGGGGTTCAGGGCACACAGGAACCACTCCCCATGGCCACTCCCGGTGCTCGGCGACCCGGATCCCTCCCACGGCCACCGCGGGTGCTCAGTGACCCGTCCCCGGCCCACCTGCAGCTCCTCCAGCATGGTTGGGGTGAAGATGCCGCGCCGCTCCAGCGGGTCCCAGAGCGGCTCCACCCGCAGCGCCGCCACCAGCCGGGCCCGCCCGCGCCGCAGCGCCCGGCGATGCTGCTCCTCCATCGCCGCTGCTCCTCCATCGCCCGGAACCGCCGCCCTGCCCCGGAACCGCCTCTCGCTGCCCGGAACAGAATCCCGGAATCGCACCCCGGGAGAGATCCGGGATGGTCCAGCACGCGGCACAGGATTCCGCCCTTTTTCTTTTTTTTAATTATTTTTTTAAAATAATTATTATTATTTTAGTTTTAGTTTTTAATATCTCCGGGGATGGAGACTCCACGCCCTCTCCCGTCACCCGCGCTGTGAAGTTCTTCCTCGTGTTCGGGTGGAACTTCCCGTGCGTCAGTATCGGACCATTCCCCTCTTGTCTCATTGCTGGACCCCCCGAGCAGAGCCTGGTCCGTCCATCCCCTGCCCCCTCCCTGCACACACTGACAGACATCGCTGAGGTCCCCTCTCGGTGTCTCTGGAGGTTGAACAGCCGCAGGTCCCTCAGTCTTTCCTGGTCACAGAAATGCTCCAGTCCCTTCATCATCTCCACAGCCTCTGCTGGACCTGCTCCAGGAGCTCCACATCCCTCCTGTCCTGAGGAGCCCAGACCTGGACACAGCACTGCAGATGTGCCTCCCCAGGGCTGAGCAGAGAGACAGGATCCCCTCCCTGACCTGCTGCCAATGCACCTCAGGATCCCACTGACCTTCATGGCTCCCAGGACACTCTGCTTGCTCAGGGACAGCTTGTTGTCCACCAGGTCCTTCTCCCAGGTCACTCTCAGCCTGTGCTGGTGCTTGGGGTTATTCCTGTCCATGTACGGGACCCTCCACTTGCCCTTGTTGAGCCTCATTAGGATTCTCTCTGCCCAATTCTCCAGCCTGACAGGTCCCACTGAAAGGCAGCACAGCCTTCAGATGTACCAGCCACTCCCTCCAGTTCTGTATCATCACCAAACCTGCTGAGGGTACATTCCCTGTTGATAAACAAGGTGAATAAGACTGGGCTCAGTATTGATCCCTGGGGAAGGCCACTGCCTCCAGGCCTCCAACTGAATCCACTGATCACATCCCTCTGAACTGTGCCATTGATCCACCTCACTGCCATCCAACCCACATTCCCTAGTAGACTGTTGTGGTTTTAAGCCCAGATGGAAATTAAGAATCACTCAACATCCCCCCTCTCTCCTCACCCTGGTGAAATGGGGAGGAGAATCAACGTAAAACTTGTATGTTAAGAACAGTTTAATAATTGAAAATAAAGTAAAATACAGTAACAATGGTAAATTATAATAATACTGATAATAAAAAGGGAAAAACAAATAATGCACAATGCAATTGCTTACCTCACCACCCGCTGACCGATGCCAGACCCCCCTTCCCGAATCCAAATCAGCCCGTTCCCAGTAACTTCCCCCCAGTTTATATACTGGGCATGATGTTCTATGGGGTGGAACATCCCTTTGGGCCAGTTTGGGTCACCTGGTCCAGCTATGCTCCCTCCCATTTTCCTTTGTGAACCTCTTCACTGGCAAAGCATGAGACAAGAAAAAAGTCCTTGATTTCGGATAAACGCGACTTAGCAAAAAACCAAAGCATCACAAAGCCACGGAATATGCTGAGTGGGAAGGGACCCACAAGGTTCATGGAGTCCAACCCTCAGCCCTGCACAGGCCCAGCCCCAACAGTCACACCCTGTGCCCCAGAGGATCATCCAAACTCTCCTGGAGCTCTGGCAGCCTTGGGGCTGTGCCCACTGCCCTGGGGAGCCTGGTCAGTGCTGTGATAAACAAAGTCTCGAGTTTCTATAAGTTTTTGAGTAAGAGTTTATTATATGGAAAAAGCAAGCAGCCAGCTGGGTGACAGAAATGGGGACCAGTTTCCCAAATCTGCACACAGCTACTACAGGGTACATTTAGTATTTATCTTAGCTACTTCATGCATATTAATTATATCATATGCATATACATTCTACAGGTTTTTGCTAAGTATTTAATATATGGGTTTTCTTACAGCTAAAGCTAAAAGGGTTATCTCTACCACCAGTCATAATTCATGCATTTTTGGATGAACAGGCGCCTAAAGATTTAAAGTTCTACCATATTTTATTCTTAGGATAGTAGGGAGGTTTTAGGGCCTCTTGACCTTGTAAGGGTCTGTTTTATTTCTTTATGGGGGTATAATTAAGTTTTACAATCCGTTTGTTTTACTTTGATGTAATCGCCCACTTGTTTCACGAATCACAATTTATATTTATCCTAAGTACCCAACGTTTCCATCAACGCTGCCTCCGTTCAATCCTAAATATCCACTGGTCAGATTATGTGACCAATCCATCTGTTCTAGAACAAGCAGCAGTCACAAGTATCGAGGCCATGTTGCTGAGAACGCAGCTGTGCTGGGCAGGGCACATCTCCAGGATGAAGGACCACCACCTCCCTAAGATCCTGCTTTATGGTGAACTTGCCACCGGCTGCCGCAAGAGAGGAGCCCTGAAGAAAAGATACAAGGACTCCCTGAAACAACATCCCAGCCTTGGCCATATTGATCACCAGAACTGGTCTACTCTGGCCTCCAGTCAGGAGGCCTGGAGACACACCATCTATAACGCTGCTGATGCTTTTGAGAACGCACGCAGGATCACCCTTGAGGAGAAAAGACAACGCAGAAAGAACCGTGCCTTGCAGAATTTACCACCTAAGGAGTCTTTCTGCTGTGCCTTTTGCAACCGGACATGCCTGTCTCGTATTGGCCTTTTTAGCCACCAACGCGCAACAAACGTGGGTAGAGCCCTTCCCAAATCTTCGTTCGCAAAGCCCAGCCATGAAATGAAATAAGTATCCAACCACCCTCTGGGGGAAGAACCTTTTCCTAAGATCCAACCTAAACCTCCCCTGACCCAACTCCAGGCCATTCCCTGGGTGCTGTCCCCGGTCCCCACAGAGCAGAGCTCAGGGCCTGCCCCACCCCAGGAAGGTGTAACTGCAGCGAGGTCTCCCCTCAGCCCCCTCTTCCCCAGCTGAACGCACCGAGCGCCCTCAGTGTCCTCACACGGCTTCCCCTGGCCCCCGTTATCGCCCCCCTATCGCACACACCGCCGGGGCAGCCCCAGCCCGGGTCCCCCTGCCCGTGTCCCCCCCCGGAAGCTCCGGCTCTCCCCGGGCACGGCGGGCGCGCCGGAAGCGGCGGCGAGGGAAGGGCGGCCCGTCCGCTGCCTCCGCCCGTGGGGCCCCGCCGGACATGGAGCCGGGCCGGGCCGCCTGGATGCTGCTGCTGCCGCTGCTGCCGCTGCTCCTGCTGCTGCCGGCCCTGCCCGCGGCCGCGCCGGGGGACTTCGACCCCTACCGCGTGCTGGGGGTCGGCCGCGGCTCCAGCCAGGCCGACATCAAGAAGGCCTACAAGCGGCTCGCCCGGGAATGGTACGTGCTGCCCTCCCCACCCCTCGCCCCCCGCCCCGCAGCCCGGGCACGGCCCGGCGGGGATGCTGAGCGGCCTCACCTGGTTGTGCAGCGCGGGTGAGGCGCGGCGGGAGGTCGGGAAGCGGCGCCGGGGCTCCCTCGCCATCCTAGAGCTGGGCGGGTGCCCCCGCGCCAGCGATCTGTGCTGTAAAACCCTCTCGAGGCTGGCTCTTGGGGGGGAAGGTTCTTCCAGAATCGGGCTACAGGGGGGAAAGTTCTTCCGGAGTTTGGCTATGGAGGGAAAAGTTATCCCAGAATCAGGCTACAGAGGGGAAAGTTCTTCCAGGGTCTGGCTGTGGGGGGAAAATTCTCCCAGAGTCTGGCAACAGGGGGTAAAAGTTATCCTGGAGTCTGACTACAGAGGGGAAAATTCTCCCAGAGTCTGGCAGCAGGGGGTAAAAGTTATCCTGGAGTCTGACTACAGAGGGGAAAATTCTCCCAGAGTCTGGCAGCAGGGGGTAAAAGTTATCCTGGAGTCTGACTACAGAGGGGAAAGTTCTTCCAGGGTCTGGCTGTGGGGGGAAAATTCTCCCAGAGTCAGGCTTTGGGGGAAAATGTTTTCTTGGAGTCTGGCTATGGGGAAGAAAGTTCTTCTAGAGTCTGGTTACAAGGGGAAAAAGTTCTCCCAGAGTCCGGCTATGGGGATAAAAAGTTGTCCCTTACTCAACAGGGAACTTTTAATACACGGAGGTGTAAGTCTCAGCTCGATATGTCACTGTCCAAGGGCAACCCAGTCCCTGTGCTGTGGGAGGGAAAGGCATCAGGTGCCCAAACGTCACACCCCTTGCATCCATGGTGTGTGATGAGGGGCAGGCTTGAGGCATCGCCTGGGGAAAGAACCTCACCCAGAGCTGTTGTCTTGCACGACACATCCTGAGGGCTGTGGCAGGAGGTGATTTAAGGAAGAACCCAGTAGATATGTGGGGCAGCAGCCAAGGGAGCCATTGCTAGGAAAGAGGCATGCTCCCTTGGCTTGGGCTTGGGCTGTTTGGTGATGGATCAGACAGAGGCACAGGTCCACAGGCACACCACACACATCCCAGTGCTGCGTTTTGGGATGGGGTTTGGATAGGGACAGCACGTGCTGGGTATAAATCTGATCTCAGCCTCGGGGATACCACTGCACGTCGTAACTGTCCATGTTCTGCTCGCCTCCAAACAGAGGCCGACAGCTCCCTGTGCCCTCCAGGGAACCACTGACCCCTTTTCCTCTGGTTCTGCCTTGTAGGCACCCTGACAAAAACAAGGACCCAGGAGCAGAAGACAGATTCATCCAGATTAGCAAGGCCTACGAGGTAACACGTGCTGCTTATAAACTCCTGCTGTTGTTAACATTAAGAGAACTTATTTTTCCTGTGCTTTTCCTGTGTGTTTCTACATGGGAAAGGTGATTGACCCTGTAGAGGTGGACACTACCCACCCAAAAAGTTTACTCAGCTTTGTTGACACAGCCACTGGAGTCACCAGCGTGGCCTCTGCTGCAAATATTTTGCTACAGGCCTGCCCTGTCCTGGCTAAAAAGCCTCAAAGGAGGGAGGAGAGAGTATTCAGTGAGCCCTGCCTGGCTGGGCAGCGTCTTGTCCGTGTCACATGCACATAAAAGCATTTTGGGGTGATGTAAGCAGCATTAGTCATCACATGGCTTTGGTCACCTCAAATTATTGTCGGTACTAGTTATTTGCACATCACTGTGGAAATTGGCTGCCCCAGTTTGTGGCAGCTGAGCCCAAGGAAATAAAAGTAAATCCTTCTTTCCCTGCCAAAAAAAATGCAGTTTCTCTATGGGGCTCCTGGCTTCTTGGTGAAATTTTTGTCACTTTCTGATGTGCCAAGAAAACCATCCGGGTTCAAAGAGACACCAGCAAAAGCTGCTCCAGAAAAGAGGGAATCCCAACGTGGGATGTTTTGTCCCAAGGAGCTGTTGGTGTCAGAAGTGGGTACAACAGTCTGGATTTAGGAGCTCCTTTTCTTTGGACTTTGGCGTTTTTTTACCCCTGTTTACCACAGTGAGCCTGGAGGGATGTGATAGTTCCCTTTTCCAGACTATTTATCCCACACGTTCCTTAGGCAGCTGCAGTCGTTTACTAAGGGATTACAGTCAGGGCAGTTCCCCCTCATGGTTTTTCCATCGTCCACTTCCCAGATTCTCTCCAACGAGGAAAAGAGGGCAAACTTCGATCGCTATGGAGATGCTGGGGAGAGCCAGGGCTTCTCTCAGCACCAGCATCGCCAGTTCCATCGCTTCCACGACGGCTTCTATTTCGACGAGTCCTTCTTCCACTTCCCTTTCAATTCCGAGCGACGCGACACCTCCGACGAGAAGTATTTGCTCCACTTTTCCCACTACATCAATGAAATCGTGCCGGACAGTTTCAAGAAACCTTACCTCATCAAAATCACCTCGGACTGGTGCTTCAGCTGCATCCACATCGAGCCTGTGTGGAAGGAAGTCGCTCAGGAATTGGAGGCGCTGGGTAAGGATGAGGCTGTGTGTGCATCCAGCGTTGGCCTTCAGCTTTTGCAGGACTCTGTTTAACCTTTAGATTTCCTCAGAGATTTGTCCTAATGCTTTCCCAAACATTACTAACTCTGGGGTGCTGGGCAAGGGAGCAGGTGGTCAGTTTTCCACTGGGCATTTGCTGGGGATCTTTCACCTGAAGCTGCTCTCCTTTTCCAGGAGCGGGAATCGGCGTCGTGCACGCAGGGTACGAGCGGCGCCTCGCCCACCACCTGGGTGCCCACAGCACTCCCACCCTGCTGGGGCTCATTAACGGGAAAATAACCTTCTTCCACAACGCCGTCGTTCGGGAAAACCTGCGGCAATTCGTGGAGAACCTTCTGCCGGGGAATCTTGTCGAGAAGGTACATTCCAGCAGGAGTGTCACACCCTGCTTCTCCTGCCTGCCTGGAGATTTCTCTCTCCTTGGCTGTTTTGGTGGCTAATCTGTTTAATTTGGGCCCTGAGCTGATCTGCATCACAAAGCTCCAAACCCTGGAGCTGTGGAAAGCTTTCACACCACATAACACTTCTCCTTGCAAAAGGGCTGATCCTGCCACTACATGGTCATACCGGGGGCTTGAGTGCCAACTGCCCCCCAGCTGTGACACCCCACAAGGGATAACCCCACCAAGGTTATCCCTAGGCTAGGAACCTGCTGGATTTCACTTCCCTTCTCCTTTCTCAGCATTTCATCCAGCAAATTAAAGACCACTCACTAACTCCCAGGTGGTGTCTCCTAAAACGCACCGACCTGTTTTGTCCGGTATGATTCGGACCTTTGAAAGTGGAGCTGGCAGCTTGAGCCCTTCCAAGTTATAAGTAAAATAACTTTTATCCTAACTGATAAAATATTCCTGCATTTCAGCCTTGCCCAGTGATTTTTGGTGGAGTCCTAAAGCACCCGCCACTCCTTTCAGGGCGATGTGGCCAGGTCAGCCCCCACAGTGCACTCACCTGCCTACCCCCTTCTTGCAGCCTTGTTCACCTCACCTTGTTTTCATTTGGGATCTTCAGCAAGGGCTGCCTTTCCCAACAAATTTGACTTGTTGTCCTCTGTGTGTTGGAGTTCTCATCCCAAAAGTGGGATCTGTTTCCCCTTCCACAGCTAACGGAGCCATTTATCTCCTTCCTCTGGGTCACAGAGGTACCAGAGCAGGTTTGATGAAGCTCAGGTTTGGTAGGTGCCTGTTAACCCTTGGCTTCCCATTATATATAGGTATAGATATATAAAGAATATGGTCCAAACAAACAGTTACAAGAATGACAGTGCCATCAGCATTGACTTGGAATGGCATTGACAGAGGCTGCAATAACTGAGAGAGTTGAGTGGGTCGAGAGTGATGGTTTTAATTCATTCATTAATCAGGAATACCTTCTGGGAAGACCAACCCACAGTCAGCTTTCTGCAACACCTGGACACCTTTTCAGGCTCAGTTCTCATTGAGACAGCTCATGGTGGAGCGTTGCCTGACTGCTCAGAGGTTAAACTGATGTTCCTGTTCTGTTTAAAGATTACAGATAAAAACTACATCCGCTTTCTCTCTGACTGGAGGAAGGACAACAAGCCCCACGTCCTGCTGTTCGATCATATGCCAGTTGTGCCATTACTGTACAAGGTAATGTGATTTCTGTCGCTGCCAAGTTGACTTGTTTATGAATCCAGATGTTCCAAAAGAAAATGCACCATTGCTGTGAGTAGAGGTCAACCAATGCCTCCAAACACCATTGGCTGGTTCTGGGAGAGCAGGGTGATTTGTGTTCGTTGGAAATGGCATGGCCAGGTGACCAGCTTTGTTAGGAGTCTGATTCCCTGTCCTGACCTGGATGTACCTTACATGGATGTGAAGGTGTGGGTGGGTTTTGGAGGTAGCAGCAACACAAGTGCTTACTAACCTTTGTTAGGAATGAGAAATGTTTGTGGCATGTCTGATTTGTGCTATTGCAAAGCCCTTTTCCTGAGAAACCCCATGTCAGACTGTAAATAAAACTGTGGATCCATGGAGGCTCCCAGCACGTTGACTGAGAGAACTCAAAGCGTGGTTCAGCAAGGGAGAGGAAGGGTTTGTACCTCTTGCAGTACAAGCCCAATGACATTCAAACAGCAGGATGTATTCTCAGAGCAAAGTCATCACGAGCACTCAGGGGAGAAAACGTTCACTCTCCACCACAAACACACACTGTGGATTTCTCCCCATCCAGCTGACTGCCTTTGCCTACCGAGACTACCTGTCCTTTGGGTATGTGTACGTCGGACTCCGAGGCACCGAAGAGTTGTCCAGTCAGTACAACATCAACGTCTACAGTCCCACCATGATGGTCTTCAAGGAGCACATCGACCGGCCCGCTGACGTTGTGCAGGTACCGCTCAGAGCCGTCTCCAAGAGCTTATGGGAAACGGGCGTGGAGGTTTCCTGACTGAGCTGGCGACGAGAGGTTTGTCGCTGGTGTGTTTTGGAGTAAAGGGTGTTCGTTCTCAGCATAAACTCTGGCTTCAGTAGACAAAGAGGGCAAATGTTTGGAGGGAGGAAGCTTGGCAGGCTCTAGTTTTGGTGTCTGAGCTGTTGAGGAAGGTGGACACAGGTGGCTTCCCAGTCTTGAGGCCTCACAAGACCTTGGGTGATTGCAGCGAGGACTGTGATGGCCAGCAGCCTTCCCCAGCTTCAGACAGGAACACCCAACAGCTTTATTCTCCTCACCTGCTCAGTTCTGACCTCTGCTTCCTTTGTCCTTGCCAGGCACGAGAGATGAAGAAGCAGCTCATTGATGACTTCCTTTCTCAGAATAAGTTCCTTATGGTGGCCAGACTCACCAACCAGAGGCTGTTCCAGGAGCTGTGTCCTGTCAAGAAGTCTCACCGTCAGCGGAAGTAAGTGGCATGTCCTCCTGATTTGAGGCTCTGGAGCTGCTCCTAAAGCCACCTTTGGTTTGATTCTAAGGGAAAAGGGCAATGACTGCATTGGATCATGCTCAGTATCCACAGTGTCAGAGAGGTTTCTGCCTCATTGGGATGATTTTGACTAGCAGAAAGGGGGTGGTCATTTCCTCTTGTGTCCAGAACGGCTCTTAATCCCCCATCTCGTTGTATCACCCAGGCACTGCGTGGTCTTGCTTACTGGAGAAGGAGAGAAGTTTGCTGAGGCTTATGAGGCCTTTTTGACTTTTGCTGTGGCCAACACAAAAGACACACTGAAGTTTGTGTACATCTATAACGAACGGCAGCCAGAATTTGCAGACGCCTTACTGATGGATGATGAGAAGTATCGGGGAAGATCAGCTGTGAGGGTTTCCTTTTGTTTTTAATCCCTTCTTTTAGCCTGTCTTTTAATTTACATCACTCTGTACCTTGATCTGACACCTAATTCTGGGCAGTGGTTTGAAACAGAACATCTGTGTAGAAAAAAGCCCCTTCCTCTCTAACATCTGCCACGTTCTTGGCTCATCCAGGTGGTCATTCTGGAGAGACGCAATAACGCGGGGAAGATTGCCTACAAAGCCTTGGAGGAGGCCTGGCAAGGCAGCAAGGAGGACAACTTCATCCTCCTGGATCTCCTGGACCAGCTGAGGACAGACCCTGGCCTTCTGTCATCAGAGACTGTCGTGGCAGACCTGAATGATGAGCTCGCTCCTGTAAGTCCGTGGCCTTTCCAGCTGTCTGATATCTGTGTTCTGGATGTGGACAGTCCCATTATGGTTGTTCACAGGCATTATTTATATTCTAAAATTCCAAGGCAAGACTCTTATAAGATTTCTTGCTCATAGAAGGAAGCTCACTGCATGCTCTGAAGCTGATTTGGCCCAGGGTTGGGCTCATTTTTACAGGATGGGAGTCATGTTGGGGCTGTGCATGGCGGGTTTGTCATTTGTTTTTTGCTTTTCATTCTTTTCAAACAGATGTTCCTTATCCGATGGCTCTACTCCTCGCTGGACTACATCTCAGACTGCTGGGACAGTTTGTTTCACAGTAACTGGTACAGTCTGGGCATCCATTGTGGGTTTTCACTGCTTTCCTGTTACCTTATTTTAAAATAGATCCATTTTTAGCCTCCTCTTTTGGGTGGGAGCAGGACAGCACTCAAAAACTTGATGGTCTTTAAGACCCTGAGAAACAAGCTGAGTTTCTGGGGAAAGCACATATTGTTATTTGAGGTAGACAGGGACTGGAATTCGGGCAGAAAATGTGAACTTACAGGCCAGACTGCTCTTTGCACATCTTCCCCTCAGGCGAGAAATGATGCCGCTGCTGTCCTTGCTCTTCTCCGCGCTCTTCATTCTCTTTGGCACCGTTATTGTTCAGGCTTTCAGGTGAGTGCACACCAAAATGCCCTCAGGGGTAGCTCCTCAGTCCAACCCAGGGCCCTAAACACACACAAAATCACCTTCCTCCACAGTGATTCGAGTGACACAAGGGACTCTCCACCCTCGGAGAAAGAAGAAGCCGCCACAAAGACAGAGAAGAACGACGTGAGCTTCAGCAAAGAGAGTAACAGGTTCCCTCTAATTTCTCCAGAAGTCTTTTCTGTGGAAGCATTGCTCAGGGGGTGTCTGTGCAGGGAGAGTTAGTGGAGAGCAGAGAAGTGCCAGAGTTGCATAGACATAATGCAGTTGTTGTGCAGAGCAGCACCGGCACAGCCAGGTGGGGAGGAGCGGTGTGAGCCAGGACCCCGCCAGCAAGGACAAGGTGACATTAATTTGGTTATTAAACTATTCCCACCAAGTTTGCACCAGACAGCATGCTTGGGGAAAAGGTAAAGGTCTGACCCACTTGTTGAGGAAGATCCAAACTGGGCTGTTGTACCAATTAAACTGGCTTTGGGCACAGGGATGGCTCGGGAACAGGCTGAGGAACATGGTCACAGTTTCTCCGTCCTCAGTCGCTCCTGGTCCCTTGCCCCCCTTTCACTCAGTCACTGCTTTGCTGCAGCAGGATTCCCAAAAAGGGCTTTGTTGAGGTGACTGAGCTAACGGACATCAACTACACCAGTAACTTGGTGCGCCTGAGGCCGGGCCACATGAACGTCGTCTTGATCCTGTCCAACTCGACCAAAACCCCCCTGCTCCAGAAGTTCGCCCTGGAAGTCTACACATTTACAGGGTAGGCTGGGGCCTCTCCTGGGTTTCTGTTATTGTGTTAACAACTTGTGTGAGGCAGCTCTGGCGACACAGGAGGAGCAGGGTTGGCTCCATTGCCAAGAGGAAACATTTCTGGCGAGCAGCCTCTGTGCTCACCTGTGGCAATGAGCTGCCAAAAAACGAGTGGCCTTTCCTGGCCAGACTCAGTGATGGTGGCCACATGGGTCTGGTGCTGCTGCCACTTTGGCTGTACCCATGTTTCATCAGATAGAGAGCACGACAGTGCTGCACACTGGGCAAGCGTCACCTGTGCTGGAAAAGGAGCTGCAGCAACACTGCTCTGCCCTGCCCTTGCTGACAAATCCTTACCTGTTCATAGGAATCCAGCCTTGCTCAGGACACATGCTAATCCCACTGTCTTCTCTGCTCTTTTCCCAGGAGCAGCTCTCTTCATTTCTCCTTCCTCAGCCTGGACAAGCACCGAGAGTGGCTGGAGTACCTGCTGGAGTTTGCGCAGGATGCAGCCCCCATCCCAAACCAGTACGACAAGCATTTCCTGGAGCGCGACTACACGGGCTACGTCCTGGCTCTGAACGGCCACAAGAAATATTTCTGCCTCTTTAAGCCTCACAGATCAGGGGATGAGGGGGGAACCCTGGGATCCTGTGAGGATTACGATGCATCACTACACGCGGAAGCCAGAGGGAAACCCTCCTGCAGCCCGGGATCTAGATCCATTAAAAACAAATTACACAAATTGTCCTTTTGGATGGAACGCCTCCTAGAGGGTTCCTTACAGAGGTTCTACATCCCCTCGTGGCCTGCGTTAGACTGAGGGATTTTACAGAGATTCTAAGGGACAAACTTTTTATGAAGATGACAAAGGACAGCTCTTTCCAGGAATACACAAACAAGCGTGATGAATGGACCTTAGGTTTTAGGTGAACCCTCCTGGGCCGGAGACTAAAACATATCTCCCCACGTCCGGAGCCCGGGAGCGCAGCCAAGCACACCCACCTGCCCTCCACTGACCCATCGTGCGCTTGGACGCCGTCCTACCGAAGAGCCAAGAAGTCTGTTTTTCCCTTCTTGTCCTGCCACATCTGCTTCCCAAGTCACCCCTGTTCCATCTCTCGTTTTACCTCAGTTGAAGAAAAACCCTGTGACTTCTCTTGGCCCGGACCAGCCGCGGCCAGTGGTGCAGGTCGGGTCGCAGTTCTCTCTCCCCCCATCCCCGTGTGCTTAGCCCATGGTGCAGTGCATGGTGTAACACTGGCAAGACCCTGCAGACCCTCCCAGGCCCTGCCCTTCCAAAAGGCCTCCTCCTGCCAGGCAGTTGTACTTCCTCGGCTTTCCCCGTGGTAAGTGACGTAGAGTCCAGTCAGGAGCATCTCCCTTGTAGCAAACCTGTAGCTGGGACTCACCTGTGGTGCGGGCCCGTGGGTGATCTGCATGTTTCATGCTCCTCGTGTCCTGGTTCCACGTGCAGCTTCACCGGCTGAACCCGGACTGGGAAGGAAAAGGGTTTTGCACGGCCGTAAATACTGTCAAAGTGTTGAGCCGTTTAAATGTCACGTTGATTTTTCAGATGCCTTTTCTGCTTCTGTCGATTTT